TTCCTATGATGTGCATAGTTACAGTTTCGTATGTAACTCTTCGTCAGAATAATTTCCAATATCGAAGTCCAGTCCACGATACCCCCTATCCTTTCTTTGCTGAACTGGCATCATGAAAGCAGTGTCAGCCATGAACGCCATTTGCGAGTTAACCACACTGTTATAAAGTTAGCGGCGGTCCTTAGGTGTATTAACTTAACGTCACGTTAACAGCCTGTTAAAAGTTAACAGAGTTTTGAACAACAAGATAACCCTCTGTTATAAGGTAACAGTCGGTTAAATGTACTTAACGGCTGGTTAAAAGATAACCGAGTTTTGAACAACCGGGCCCTGGTGAATAACTTGTCTTGTAATGCTTGGCACTGATACGTTGTGTCAGAAAACGGTTAAGCGCTAACTCAAACAAAAGCAAATGTATAGGTATGGCAGTTCTTGTTTATCCAACGAAAATATCAACAATGTATACATTGATCAGAGTATGAAATGACCTTTGATCTCGACATTGTGAATAATTAAAATGACAATTTCTGTGGCTTGCTTTTTATAAATATGATCTGTTTTGGTGTCTGAAAGCACCTGCTGCCCTCGGTCCTATTTGTACACAATGAATGCCTGTCAGGGAATAATCTCTGGAGTGGACAAGGGAAAGCATCTATTATGTTGGTGCTGGTTCCAGGCGTAGCTTGTGAACATGGCAATCAGAGAGATGAACAATCAGACAGATGAACAATCAGACAGATGAACAGACAGACAGATGAACAATCAGACAGACAGATGAACAGACAGATGAACAATCAGACAGATGAACAGACAGACAGATGAACAGACAAACAGATGAACAATCAGACAGATGAACAGACAGACAGATGAACAGACAGACAAGCCCTGCAGACAAACACTGGCAACCTATTTTAACCCAAGTATGGGGAATTTTTTATTCGGTGACCTTACAGACTATCATTGTATTTGTCACTTTTACACTATTTTCATTTTTCATATTTGATTTGGGTCAAGCAAATGTGATTAAGCAATGCCCTCAAGTATTAAATCTGCAAAGCAACTATGTTGAGTTTGTTGCTCTTTTATGGGTCATGTCCTAACAATCTGTAAGGTTCACTAATGATTTGTTCATTTTATTTTTTAAATTCTAAAATAAATTCCAGGTGATATGTGAGCAGCATCAATGACGCATGGGAACTTACAAAAAAAACATCCTTTCGTGAAATATTTAATAACTCCAATGGCCCATGTTGGATCATGGAAGCTTCTTTATTATGACTGATATACCTGTTGTTTAAACATGCATAAAGAATGAGTTATGTAAATGTCAAAGCTCTTTTAGTGCATCAATCAGTACAATGGTGTTCTGTAGACAGCTGGTATGCAAACAGATTTGCCCTCAAAAAAATTTCATTTGTTTCTGAGAAGCTGCATATAAACATAACAACAGTCATCAGAAGATGACAATCCGATCAGCCTCTACAGTTTTGAAAGAGTATGTGGGAGAGTGAGTTTAGTTTTATGCCAATTTTACAACATTCCAGCAACACCACTGCAGGAGACACCAGAAATGACTGACTGACTGACTGACTGACTGAGTTTGGCTTTACGCCGCTTTTAGCAATATTCCATCAACATCACGGTGGGGGACACCAGAAATGGGCTTCACACGTTGTACCCATGTGGAGATTCAAACCCGGGTCTTTGGCGTGACGAGCCAATGCTTTAACCACTAGACTACCCCACCGCCCCACACCAGAAATGGGCTTCACATTGTACCCATATGGGGAATCGAACACAGCATGATGCGAGAACACTTTAACCAACAGGCTACCCTACTGCCCCCAATTATGAAAGAACAAATCATCTGATTGTTACAAGAGTCCAACAAGGATGATCTCTCCAACTTAATAATATTCTGATCTGAGTTGTCAGCCCCAAAACAGAGTAATCACTGAGGAGTCAAAACAAGACAGTGAGTTAGGATTCAAAACTCGTATTTGTACATCATTTCCAGACAGTTTCAGAGATATGGTTCGGACAAACACACAAAGTCAATATTAAACGTGATGCCATGGAAACTGAAATATTTTTCTCACCCTCTGAAAGAGGCATGAGTTGATTAGCTTGTCTTTGTGTGTGCAATAAATCATGAAAAAATACCAATCACTTTTAGCAATATGATCAAGACAGAAAATGAGTATGAACAGATGGACAAATGGCCATACAAGCTGATTACTACCAGGATATCTCTCCGTATTACATACCGGCAGGGGGAATAATAATGTATCACAGGTGTCCTGATTGAGGACATATATTACTTGTTTCTCCAATTAAACCAAATTGGAATCAGTTGTGCAGCAAGAATAGACAAGATGGACTGTGAAAAAGTTGTAACAATGGTTGATAATATCTAAGTTAAAGTTTTTGACTCTTCATAAATCTGGCTATAAACACTCTTTCAGCTGTATGTGTCCACAGATATCATCAAGTTATCTCATTTGGTGCAGGACTGGGGTTGTAGTGTTTGCTTCTGAACTTGGGACTGGAACTGCATGGCTTAATCTGCCAAAATTTATGATTTCACTCCAGTTCTTTTTCAAGTTATTTTTTAACCATTTATTTCTGAAACAAATGCTTTTTTTCAAAACAATTCAGAGAACTCTCTAGAATATAATATGGCCAGTTCCAATAGGGTTAAGAGAAACACAAAGGGTTAAACATGAAGCCTGGTTTAGAAACCTGGACACCTGACACTGGAATGTACAACAGTCGGTACAACATGGGTGTATAACATGGGTGTATAACATGGGTGTATAACATGCAGCTTCATATCTACAACAACCAACACAGATAACTACTAGGATCATAAGTGGCTTAAAAAAATTATTTAAGGTTCTCTCACACGAGAGGCAACTGACTGAATTAGGTTTATATGAGGTAGTGCAGTTGCACTCACAACTTTCAAGCAATAACTTCAGGAAACACTTTGACCATAATTGGAATAAAACCCAGATCTTTGGCATTGAACACTTGATCCACAAGACTACACCACTACCACAACGGTGTCTCACTTTAGAGTTCGGACTTTGGTAGATCACAGCTGGACAATACAGGTAGATCACAGCTGGATACACACCTCAATGTCTGGACAATACAGGTAGATCACAGCTGGACTATACAGGTAGATCACAGCTGGATACACACCTCAATGTCTGGACAATACAGGTAGCTCACAGCTGGACAATACAGGTAGATCACAGCTGGATACACACCTCAATGTCTGGACAATACAGGTAGCTCACAGCTGGACAATACAGGTAGATCACAGCTGGATACACACCTCAATGTCTGGACAATACAGGAAGATCACAGCTGGACAATACAGGTAGATCACAGCTGGATACACACCTCAATGTCTGGACAATACAGGTAGCTCACAGCTGGACAATACAGGTAGCTCACAGCTGGATACACACCTCAATGTCTGGACAATACAGGTAGATCACAGCTGGACAATGCACGTAGATCACAGCTGGACAATACAGGTAGATCACAGCTGGACAATACAGGTAGATCACAGCTGGACAATACAGGTAGATCACAGCTGGACAATACAGGTAGATCACAGCTGGATACACACCTCAATGTCTGGACAATACAGGTAGATCACAGCTGGACAATGCAGGTAGATCACAGCTGGACAATACAGGTAGATCACAGCTGGACAATACAGGTAGATCACAGCTGGATACACACCTCAATGTCTGGACAATACAGGTAGATCACAGCTGGACAATGCAGGTAGATCACAGCTGGACAATACAGGTAGATCACAGCTGGACAATACAGGTAGATCACAGCTGGACAATACAGGTAGATCACAGCTGGATACACACCTCAATGTCTGGACAATACAGGTAGATCACAGCTGGACAATACAGGCAGATCACAGCTGGACAATGCAGGTAGATCACAGCTGGACAATACAGGTAGATCACAGCTGGACAATACAGGTAGATCACAGCTGGACAATACAGGTAGATCACAGCTGGACACACACCTCAATGTCTGGACAATATAGGTAGATCCACACATCAGTATTCGGACAATACAGGTAGATCACAGCTGGACAATACAGGTAGATCACAGCTGGATACACACCTCAATGTCTGGACAATACAGGTAGATCCACACATCAGTATTTGGACAATACAGGTAGATCCACACATCAGTATTTGGACAATACAGGTAGATCCACACATCAGAATTCGGACAATACAGGTAGATCACAGCTGGACAATACAGGTAGATCACAGCTGGACACAATCCTCAATGTCTGGACAATATAGGTAGATCCACACATCAGTATTCGGACAATACAGGTAGATTACAGCTGGACAATGCAGGTAGATCACAGCTGGACACACACCTCAATGTCTGGACAATACAGGTAGATCCACACATCAGAATTCGGACAATACAGGTAGATCACAGCTGGACAATACAGGTAGATCACAGCTGGACACACACCTCAATGTCTGGACAATATAGGTAGATCCACACATCAGTATTCGGACAATACAGGTAGATCACAGCTGGACAATGCAGGTAGATCACAGCTGGACACACACCTCAATGTCTGGACAATATAGGTAGATCCACACATCAGTATTCGGACAATACAGGTAGATCACAGCTGGACAATGCAAGTAGATCACAGCTGGACACACACCTCAATGTCTGGACAATACAGGTAGATCCACACATCAGTATTCGGACAATACAGGTAGATCCACACATCAGTATTCAGACAATACAAGTAGATCCACACATCAGTATTCGGACAATGCAGGTAGATCCACACATCAGTATTCGGACAATACAGGTAGATCCACACTTTGGCGTTTAAACAGGTAGACCCACACTTACAATACAAGAACAGATCACAGCTAGACTAACAACTGACCTCCCATCATACACACATAGTTTACACTCACCTCTGTGATGTCTGATATCCCCAAGTCACTCCACAACAATTCACCTTACTCCCTTCCTCAGTGGTGTTAGTTGATGTATTCCAATTAACCCCCACAAGCACGCTATCACCTCCTTCCTGACACAGCCCACTCCAGAGACAGGCCACACTCAGTGCTTCACACCACAGAGATGATACACTACAAGTGAGGAGAGAGAGAGCTGGGCTTCAAACATCCACTGAGTGTTGGCATTAATTAACACTCAGATATACTTCAATAAAAGTGGGTGGAGGGGGCTTCTTCCAGCCCTGGTGCAGCAGACAGATTAGGTGGGAGAGTTCAAGACAGAAGGTTTTAGTGATGGGAGAATGTGAGTCAAGTTTTTGTAATGGGGCCTAATAAACGTGTACATATATATCTGTACTGTGAGAACTTCTATGTCTGTAGTTTCAACAATCTGCGGTTCAAACAAGTCTGCAAATGGAACTGTTTTCCTAAGATTGTGAATTGTATGGCCACAAAGCATACTTGGTCCAACCTACACCATCAGACACTGGGTATTGGGTGGTCCTACACAGATATGATGGACTGAGGCTAAGTCTCTGAATATATATATATATATATATATATATATATATATCATATATAGACTTGCTTCATTTAGGGCTTTAGCATTGCAGAAATGTTGGTTGGTTGGTTTCTTCACAGGTGCAGAAAGGGCATGGAAAAGTCAAAATATTCAGTTCAGTGACTATGAGGCAGGCATTGTTAAGACATTGCATATTGGGTGGTGATACACCATGTATGGCATGGTCAGACATTGGGTGGTGATATGCCATATATGGCATAGTCAGACATTGGGTGGTGATACACCATATATGGCATGGTCAGACATTGGATGGTGATACACCATATATGGCATGGTCAGACATTGGGTATTGGGTGGTGATACACCACATATGGCATGGTCAGACATTGGGTATTGGGTGGTGATACACCATGTATGGCATGGTCAGACATTGGGTATTGGTGGTGATACACCATGTATGGCATAGTCAGACATTGGATATTGAGTGGTGATACACCATGTATGGCATGGTCAGACATTGGGTATTGGGTGGTGATACACCATGTATGGCATGGTCAGACATTGGGTGGTGATACACCATGTATGGCATGGTCAGACATTGGGTATTGGGTGGTGATACACCATGTATGGCATAGTCAGACATTGGATATTGAGTGGTGATACACCATGTATAGCATGGTCAGACATTGGGTGGTGATATACCATGTATGGCATGGTCAGACATTGGGTATTGGGTGGTGATACACCATGTAGGGCATTGTCAGACATTGGGTATTGGGTGGTGATACACCATGTATAGCATGGTCAGACATTGGGTATTGGGTGGTGATACACCATGTATGGCATGGTCAGTCATTGGGTGGTGATACACCATATATGGCATGGTCAGACATTGGGTATTGGGAGGTGATACACCATGTATGGCATGGTCAGTCATTGGGTGGTGTTACACCATGTATGGCATGGTCAGACATTGGGTATTGGGTGGTGATACACCATGTATGGCATGGTCAGACATTGGGTGGTGATACACCATGTATGGCATGGTCAGACATTGGGTGGTGATACACCATGTATGGCATGGTCAGACATTGGGTATTGGGTGGTGATACACCATGTATGGCATGGTCAGACATTGGGTGGTGATACACCATGTATGGCATGGTCAGATATTGGGTATCCTACTCTATGTTTGACAGGGTCAGACATTAAAGGATTGGGTACTGTGATGTGAACTTTCAAACAGGGTATCTTATACTTGTATGATCAGCCATAGTGTACTGGATGCTCATACACTGTATAGTGTTTGGTAAGTCACTATACTGCGGCTTAGAAATGTCTCACATATTTAGCCAGAAAAATTAAGATTATTCAATTATCTTATCTATCTTTCATTATAAAAAATGTTAGACACTTTGAAAAAAAGCCCTACATCTCTATGAGGCAAATTCAATCTACAAACAGAAAGTTTGAAACCTGGCGTCCTTCATGAAAAATCAATCTGATATCTATGTCTTGAGCTGAAGTTACTTGCTGATTAAAAGTTTGAAGAAATGTATGTTTTTCCTTTTATCCCTCTCCAAGGAGAGTGTTTTTATCCCATGACTCGACATGTAAGCAGGATTGCTGATGTGTCAGACTGAAACAGTTCTGTGATATGAGGCACCACACCTCAAACTGGTCTCAGTCCTCCAAAGTTTATCTACGTCAGCACACTTCACAAGCTCAAGTCAGCATGACTTTTGGTGTTGATAAAGTTTATCAGCTTAGACTTGACACGTGATTATATTTTTGTGAAGTTGAATGCAGATCTATCTGAAGCAGCATCACACGTTTGTGGCTCCATCCTGTTGTTGTGGACACAGGTAGATGCAGTGCTGCACACACACAAACACAGGAGTTACATGTAGTCAATAGTGACCGGTGCTCGATACACCCTATACAGCGGCACATCAAGTCCTATGTCCATTCCAGTGTAGTAAATTGGCTAAAAGTCCTTTGTCCATGAGGGTACAGTCCATATTCTGTCCATAATGGTGAAGTCGTTTGTTCAATACATGGAAAAGGCCTCAACCTGAAACAGATACATCCTGAGTCCATGAAGTTGAAGCTCTTTGTCCATGAAGTTGAAGCTCTTTGTCAATGAAGTTGAAGCCCTGAGTCCATAAAGGTGAAGTTGTTTGTCCATGATGGTGAAGTCCTTTGTCCATGATGATGAAATGGTTTGTCCATGATGGTGAAGTCCTTTGACCATGACGGTGAAGTCCTTTGTCCATGATGATGAATTTGTTTGTCCATGATGGTGAAGTCCTTTGTCCATAATGACCAAGTCTTATTTCCACACAGAAATATTCTGTCCATGAATGTGAAGCCCTTTGCCAATGATGGTGAAGTTGTTTGTCCTTGAAACGAAAGTCCTTTGTCCATTCCAAATTACCCTTACCACACATTTTCTAATTCTGAGCTACTTTGAATATTGAAGTAAAGAGTCTACATTCAAGCAACATGTCTAATTTAAGTGACATCAAGCAAAAGTTAAAGATAGGGGCTTTGATGCCAGGTACCTGTTCCAGATCAGATGTTGCAGTTAGTGCAGTTAGTCACAAAAAAGTAGATAGAATCAAACAGGTGTGTTTAGAATCAAACAGGTGTGTTTAGAATTCTTACAACTGCATACTGGCCCAGCCTTGTAGTGTCCATGCCATGGTTCATGAGACAGTTCTTATGTCTTATTGTGGGTGTAAATTCAGATAAATTCAGACAATTTGTGCCAAGAAAACCAGCATCAAGAAAGTTAAGTTCTGATCATGGTCTGGGTTGATTCCTCAACAGTATTTATTCCCTTCTATTTCTGGCACCAAACTAGCACATTACAGGCAGAGAAGCATTAGACTGGATAATGACTACATAAACAGCAGCTGTGGCTCTCTGGTCAACAACAAATCAAGTGAAAACAGAAACCTTCGTTTCAGGGCAAGGGTGTGGTGTACTCCATTAGAGGGCAAGGACCATGGGTGTACTCAATTAGAGGGCAAGGATGGGGTGTACTCCATTAGAGGGCAAGGACCATGGGTGTACTCAATTAGAGGGCAAGGACCATGGATGTACTCCATTAGAGGGCAAGGGTGTGGTGTACTCCTGTAGAGGGCAAGGATGTGGTGTACTCCATTAGAGGGCAAGGATGTGGTGTACTCCATTAGAGGGCAAGGATGTGGTGTACTCCAGTAGAGGGCAAGGATGTGGTGTACTCCATTAGAGGGCAAGGATGTGGTGTACTTGAGGGTAGGATGGATGGTGTACTCCATTAGAGGGCAAGGATGTGGTGTACTCCATTAGAGGGCAAGGAGGGCAAGGATGGGGTGTGGTGTCCATTAAAGGGGTGCAATCTACTCAAGGATGGGGTGTACTCCATTAAAGCGCAAGTATGTGGTGTACTCCATTAAAGGGCAAGGATGGGGTGTACTCCAGTAAAGGGCAAGGATGTGGTGTACTCCATTAGAGGGCAAGGATGGGGTGTACTCCATTAGAGGGCAAGGATGGGGTGTACTCCAGTAGAGGGCAAGGATGTGGTGTACTCCATTAGAGGGCAAGGATGGTGTGTACTCCATTAGAGGGCAAGGAAGAGGTGAGGGCATGAAAGTCGAAATCTAACCATATCTGAGAATATCCAGTGTCTGGAGCAAGTGCAGATTTCATCTTTTCCCTGGTGTTGGCAATTCTGCCTCTTTCTGATGCACCTCACCTCAGACCAAAAGATAACTGGGGCATAAACTAAATATCAACACTCACAGAAATGACAGAAATAGTTTGTTGAATGTTACTTACAGTTACTTACACCAAATTGTAACTAGAATGCTCAGGATATTCAGGGAATACACTGACAGCCTTAACTTAAGATGTGCAGACTGTCATTAAACTCTGTATCTTAATAAAGGTGAAACTTTACCTATGTCAACTTCTTTAATAGGGACACAATGTTTTGAAGTATATTCTTACTATTTCATCAGTTCATATATAAGTGGTGGTGGTGGAATTGGGTTTAACGTCGTGCTTGAGAATATTTCGCTCATATGACGACGTGCATGCGTGTGTATGTGTATGTGCGGCTGCTTGTACTAGCCCAGACTTAAGCTGGTTTTATAGTGCTAGCCCACTGAGATACCATGCCGCAGTGAAGCATGAATACCCCACTCAGACACATTAAACTGACTCCGAGCCGACCAGTCCTTGTTGTACCCATTAATGCCGAGCGCCAGGCAGGGGCCAACAAGTACCATTTTTTAACGTCTTTTGGTATGACGCGGTCGGGGATCGAACCCGCGACCTTCCGCACTCCGGGCGGACGCTCTAACCACTACACCACGGAGGCGGTCCTCATATATAAGTAAGAATATGCATTTGCCTGATGAAGGAATAAGAATATCCTCTGAAACATTGTGTCTTCACATTACAGAAGTTGACATCAATAAATGTTCACCTTCAAGTGTATCACTTCTAAATGCCATTCCAAGACTCTGTATTACATTGTTTCTGTTGAAGTGGTTTACAAAAATAACTTTCAGGAATCAGAATGCATTACCATCTTG